TAAAGACACTTACTCCTTGGAAGAAAAGCTATGTCAAACCTAGACAGCATATTAAAAAGCAGAGACATTACTTTCCCAACGAAGGTCCACCTAGTCAAAGCTATGGTTTTTCCATTAGTCATGTACGGATGTGAGAGTTGGACTATAATGAAAGCCAAGCGCTGAAGAATTAATCTTTTGAACTGTGGTGTTAGAGAAGACTCTTGAGAGTCCCTTGGACTGCAAGGAGATCCAACCAGCCCATCCTAAAGGAAATCAGTCCTGAATATTCATTGGAAGGACCAATGCTGAAGCTGAAACTCCAATACTTTGGCCACCGGATGCAAAGAGCTGACTCATTGGAAAAGACCCTGATGCTGGGCAAGATTGAAGGCAGGAGGAGAAGGGGACGATGGAGGATGAGATGGTTGGATGGCATCACTGACTCAATGGACATGAGTTTGAGCAGGCTTCAGGAGTTGGTGATGGACAGGGAAGCCTGGCATGCTGTAGTCCATGGGGTCGCAAAGAGTCAGACACGGCTGAGCAACTGAACTGAGCTGAACTGATACATTTACTTTACATTCCTTCTAAACTTACATTATGTGGTTTAGCAATGTGTACTCAAATTTAAAGACACTATAGTTTAAGGAACTATTCTCATCAACAGTTCTAGCCCAGTATACATTATGTAAACTCCACCAGGAGAGAAAAACTTCCCCCTTTTTCAAGCTTAAGTTTGTATGTTCACATACATACATTTTATTATTATTACTCTTAAAAAGTCAATTTAGGAAATCCAGTTCAATGCTTATAGTTTGAGGTTTTTTGGGTTTTTTTTTCTTCATTTATTTTTATTAGTTGAAGGCTAATTACTTTACAATATTGTAGTGGTTTTTGCCATACATTGACATGAATCAGCCATGGATATAGTTTGAGGTTTTAATTCTGACAGCTTGTCATATTTGTTTAATGATATTTTGTGCTTTTTTCCCCCGATTTAGAATGTTTCCCACCCAAGAACCTAGCTTGAGTTTTAATGAAGCATGATGACATAGCAGCTCTCACTGAAATCTATGAATTTGAATGATGTTTAAATTTAACAGTATATATTACCTAAAGTCCTTATGCGTAAAATGTTTCTAGGCTAAATTCTGTGATTTCCCCAGAAACACATATCAAATTGTCTTCAATAATGTGCTACATAAATATAACTAGGTACTTTACAGCCATTAATTTTTTTCTTTTAGTATTTCTAGCTTTGAAATTCATATACATTCCTTCCTTTGTATCTTCTCCTTAACCATATGATCATGTATTATTGTTATAATTTTCTTATCTCTTAAGGTTAAGCTAACTCCCAGTAGCTCTGTTACCCCTTCTGTGCTTGAAATGCTTAGCATTTGCTGAAATTGCCAGTGGCTTGACAGTTAATCCTTGGTGTCCCTGAAATTCAGAATAAAGAATAGGGTTTCTAAATGCATATACAATTAAAGGACAGTGAGGTCTTAGAATCCTGACTTCCTTTAGATTTGACCTGACTAATATGCATAATAAATGGGTTGTTCTTTTTATTCTTAGAAGAAAATGCTATATTCTAGAGAGGGAAATATGGTATCAGTTCAGCCTATTTACCTTCCTATTAGAAGGCATAAGAGGGGACTTCCCTAGTGGTCCAGTGGCTAAGACTCCGAGCTTCCAAAGCAGTGGGCCCGGGTTCAATTCCTGGTCAGGGAACTAAATCCCACATGCCTCAATTAAGAGTTCTTATGCTGCAACTAATACCCAGGACTCCAGTATTCTTGCCTGGGAAATCCCATGAACAGAGGAACCTGGCTGGCTACAGTCCATGGAGTCACAAAAAGTCTGACATGACTAAGTGTCTAACACTTTCACTTTTCACCTTTCATTACGCCTATTCCACATTTTCTTAAAAAATATATAAGCCTTTTTGTATTTGTAATTTTTAAATATCTACTTAAAAAAAAATAAAGGGTCTAAAGAGGCTTGGAATCCCAAATGTATTGATAGATGTTCCAGGGCAGCATATTTTTGAAAGTATCAAACACTCTTTAAGAGAGTTTCATTCATCTAAAAAAGACCCTCCCCACATGACTATTATCTATGCTGATTTCACAGGAGAAAACTCATGCCCATGATTCAACATAAAATATCTACTATTAGAAGTTGCCCTTTGGGTCTGCTAAAACACTCCCAATTACAAGGTTTCTTTCACTTTTTTTTAAATTTTCTGAGAAGAGATGAAATAGTGCTTTGAGGAAGCCAAGTAACCATCTTGCACATACCTAAGAAATCTTGTTGTGACCTGGCTTGCACCGACTCACTCACAGTCACATTTGCAAAGCACATCTCTATTAAGAGAAGAAGCAGTGTCCTGAAGGGTCCATGTGTGTTCAGAAAAGGAGTCTTTTCAGTGACTCTGCCACCATCTTCACACTTAGTTATGTATGAGGCAGTATTTTAGGACCTTTGTATGCCCTGTCTCTAAACCTTGTAATCATGCTAGGAACAGCATTATCCCCATTGTCAGTTCAGTTCATTTCAGTTCAGTCACTCAGTCATGTCCTACTCTTTGCGACCCCATGTACTGCAGCACGCCAGGCTTCCCTGTCCATCACCAATTCCCAAAACTTACTCAAACTCATGTCCATCGAGTTAGTGATGCCATCCAACCATCTCATCCTCTATCTTCTCCTCCTCCTCCTGACCTTAATCTTTCCCAGCATCAAGGTCTTTTCCAATGAGTCAGCTATTCACATCAGGTAGCCAAAGCATTGGAGCTTCAGCTTCAGCACCAGTCCTTCCAATGAATATTCAGGGTTGATTTTCTTTAAGATTGACTGGTTTGATCTCCTTGCTTTCCAAGGGACTCTCAAGAGTCTTATGCAGCACTCCAGTTCAAAAGCATCAGTTCTTTGGCACTCAGCCTTCTTTATGTCCAATTCTCACATCTGTACATAACTACTGGAAAAATCATAGCTTTGACTATATGGACCTTTGTTGGCAAAGTGATGGCTCTGCTTTTTAATACACTGTCTAGTTTTGTCATAGCTTTCCTTCCAAGAAGGAAGAATCTTTTAACCTTAATCTTATGGACATCTAATATTTGTTAATGAAAGAAATGAAGGAAGGAAAAAAACAGCTAAGGGAGTTCCCATTATTTTCTGGAAAATTGCTTATATAGGATTAGGAATGCTTAAGTGGAAAAGATAAAAATAATAACTGACCAAGATATATTTGACTCAAGTTTGGACAGGCATCTATTGGAGACAGACCATGTCTGCAGTGTTCTCAGCTCCCTTAGAAAAGTAAGTGGATTGCTAAGTAATGGTGAGAAATATAGTGCACATTTTTTGAGTGATTAAGCATCTTCTTTTTTTCTGGTTTTGATATGAAAAATACATCAAGTTCTTTATTTGGGAGGGTGATGTCCATTTTACCTAACTCATCAGAAATAACACTTAAAGGAAATCCTGAGAAAGTTTTTGGTCTCCTGGGATTTTGTTGTTGGTTGGAAGGGAAGCTCTGTTGGTTTTTGGTATTTGTGTGTGTGTGGCATTTAAGGAAGCAAGATGAAATAGGTAACCCATACAGAAGTACTCTTTTTTAACTTTTGAAGAAAACATACAATTTAAAGAAACATACAATTTAAATCATTTGGCTGCAATCTAAGCAGACTAGATAGATAATACTTTCTTAGAGGATGAGCACACACTGATGTAATGGCATCATGAAGTCTAGGAACTTAAATTATGAGAACCCATGTCCAGGAAGATCCTGGGAATCCATTCAAGTGTGGTCACAGTTGGGGTGTCTTCTGAACCCTGAAGCCATTTCTTGACCTCAGCTCCCTTTAATCAGACCTACTGCCCTGAATCTGTTAGTATAATGCCAGACATTTAGGGCCAGTTGGTTAAATATTATTGAGCTCCCACTGCATGCCTGGTGCTGGATTGAGCGCCAGACAGTTTTCTTAGGGAATTTACATTCTAGCACAGAACAGCCTAGAAACAGGTAAAAATTCTTTCCTTTATTCATCTAAAATCAGTCAAATGTATGTCAAGCACTTTTCTACACACCAAGGATGCAACTGAAAAAACTTATGACTCTTGTATGAAAGGTGCAGCGGGTCCTGTGGGAGTTCAGAACCGGGACAACTAGCATAGCCCAGGGGATCCAGGGTGCTCTCCTTTCTGGAAGAGGCCAAGATGGAGTGAGAAGTCGTAGTCAGCTAGACAACATGAAGAGGGCTTTCCAGGGAGGAGAGAGCTCAGGGCAGTCCAGCAAGAACTCCCAAAGTGTGAAAGAATTGAGGATTTCTCCTCATTATCCCACCACTGTGTGGGGGGGTTTGCAGATGGGGTGGGTGTGCAGCCACGGTGATTCCAAGAGCAGGAGGTGAGGAACAGGAAGTGGGAAACGGGTGTCAGGAGCAGGTTCCAGCATCCCTTTCCCCTTCCTCAGGCTCTGCCCTCTCCACTTCTGCTCATTTTCCTGACCTCCTTTAGGTCTGCCACGGGTGCCTGGACAAAGATTGGGAAATCATTTCATTTTGATTCTTTATTTGCTGTGAACTTAAAGTCAGTAGTTTTTTCTCTCTTTTTTTTTTAGTACTTATTTATTTGGCTGTGCTGGGTCTTAGTTACAGCATGCCAACTCTTAAGTGTGGCAGGTAAATGTGGCAGTACCTACCCTGGAGCCCCATATCCTGGGATTTGGGGTCTCAGTTGATAGAGTGTGGCAGCTTCAGGTTCAGTCAGAGCTCAAATCTTGGTTCTCCTACTTGCTCACTAGAGGATAAAAGGCAATTGTGTAACCTGTTTTTCTCCCCTATTAAATGGGCTTAAGAATAATATCTCCTTGGAATAATATCTTGGAGATATTATGAAGGCTGTTATAAGGATTAAATGAGATAATGCACATAAAGTGCTCGATGCATAGTAAGCACTCAATAGTATCACTATTTATTAATAATATTATTATGCCATTATGAATAATAGGTAGTAAATTAGATTTTGTGGTTATAAAACTGAATAAGCCACAGTACCAGCCAGAGAGACAGACATCTGTGTTACTGACCACGAGACCAAGGGATAGAGTCTGCGTAAGAGTCAGCACAGATGCTTCCACTGGACTTGGGGACCAGGGTTCACAAAGTTCCACAGAGCAGATCACAGTGGGCCTTAAACCTGGGAGGCAGAATTTCACTCACCTTGAAAAGGTGAGCCCAGCTGCATGCATGCATGCTAAGACACTTTAGTCATGTCTAACTCTTTGCAACCGTATGGACTGTTACCTACCGGACTCCTCTGTACATGGGATCTCCAGACAGAAATACTGGAGTGGGTTGCCATGCGCTCCTCCAGGGGGTCTTCACCCAGGGATCAAACCTGTGTCTCTGATATCTCCTGCATTGGCAGGCAGGTTCTGTACCACCAGAGCTACAATTGTATTAGTTATCTATTGCCGTGTAACACAGTAACCACCTCCCGCCCCCGCCAATTAGTAGCTTAAAACAACAAACATTTGTTATCTCCCAGGAACCCAAGCACAATTTAACAGGGCACCTCTGGTTCAAGGTCTCTCTTGGGGTTATAGTCCAGCTGTTGGCCAGGGCCGTGGTCATCTCCAGGCTGCATGCAAGCTGGAGAAGCCGCTTCCGAGCTCACTCAGGTGCCCACTGGCCGGCCTCCAGAGACCTGCTTCCACGTTCACTCTCATGATTCTCGCATGCTTTTGTTCCTCCTCATATGCTTTGTTCATCCTTTGGAGCTAGAGTCAGCACTTCATAGAGGGCCAGAAAGTAAGTAGATACTTTAGGAGTTGTGGGTCATACAGTGTCTGTCACCACTACCCAACACTGCTGTGTAACTTGAAAGCAGCCAGAGACAACTCCTAAATGAATGGGCATAGGTGTATTCCAAGAAAACTTTATGTAACAAAATCTGGTAACTTACTCTACAAGGTAACTACTAGGTAACTTACTCTACAAGGATAGCAGCATGGTTAGGAAAATTATTGCTGGGCATCACTTAGCTTCTCAGGGCTGCAGATCCCAATCCATAATACATGAGGGCTAGAGTAATTTTCTCAGGGCTTCCCACTGCAAAATGCTGTGTTTCTAACTTTAATCTTTATTTATAGAAGTTTAATAGCTATTTCTTTGTTCTTACTGTTTCTCTGCTAAGACTAAGAACTTAACCAGAGTGTCAGTAACACTTCGCAGATCTCACTGTAAAATGGGAGACATTTAGCCAGGGACAGCTGGTAAAGAGTCTGCCTGCAACTCGGGAGACCTGGGTTTGATCTCTGAGTTGGGAAGATCCCCTGGAGAAGGGAAAGGCTACCCACTCCAGTATTCTGGCCTGGAGAATTCCATGACAGTCCATGAGGTTGCACAGAGTTGAACACAACTGAACAACTTTCACTTTCACTGGCCAGGGACACTAATTTTTTTTTTAATATCTATGTAATTATTTATTTGTCTGCCCCAAGTCTGAGTTGCCGCACATGAGATCTTCACTGCTGCATGCCGGCTCTTTGGTGTGGCGTGTAGGCTCCTCTCTAGTTGTGGAGTGCAGCAGGCTCAGTAGTTGCGGCACGTGGGCTTAGTAGACCTGAAGCATCTGGGATCTTAGTTCTCCATAAGGATGGATGGCATACATGTTCAACTGTGTCCAACTCTTTATGACCCCATGGACTGTAGCCCACCAGGCTCCCCTGTCCATGGAATTTTCCAGGCAGGAATACTGGAGTGGGTTGCCATTTCCTGCTCCAGGGGATCTGCTCAACCAGGGATCAAACTCATGTCCTCTGCATTGGAAGGTGAATTCTTAACCACTGGACCACCAGGGAAGTCCCAGGACAACTTAATTGACATGTTCAAGTCCCTCTTTTGATACATGGCATCTCAGTCATGGCTTGGCTGGCCAGCTTGGGGCAGAGAGTGAAGGCCTCTTGCTGCTGAGCCCTTGGCCAGGAGCCGAAGGACCAATAGCATCATAATAACAGCTGCTGGTGATTGATTGCTTTCCTATGTCAGTGTTGTTGCTGTTCATTCGCCAAGTCTTGTCCGACTCTTCTCAACCCCGTGGACTGCAGCATGCCAGGCTTCCCTGTCCCTCACCATCTCCCAGAGTTTGCCCAAATTCATGTCCATTGAATCGGTGATGCCAGCCAATATCTCATCCTCTGTCACTCTCTTCTCCTTCTGCCTTCAATCTTTCCAAGCATTAGGGTCTTTTCCAGTAAGTCAGCTGTTCGCATCAGGTGGCCAAAGTATTAGAGCTTCAGTTTCAGCATCAGTCCTTCCAAAGAGTATTCAGGGTTGGTTTCCTTTAATATCGACTGGTTTGATCTCCTTGCTGTCCAAGGGACTCTCAAGAGTCTTCTCCAGCACCACAGTTTGAAAGCGTCAATCCTTTGGTGCTCTGTCTTCTTTATTGTCCAACTCTCACATCTGTACATGACTACTGGAAAGACCATAGCCTTGACTATATGGACCTTTGTTGGCAAAGTGATGTCTTTGCTTTTTAACACACTCTAGAGGTTTGTCATAGCTTTCCTGCCAAGAAAAAATCATCTTCTAATTTCATGGTTGTGGTCACCATCCGCAGTGATTTTAGAGACCAAGAAGAGGAAATCTATCACTGCTTCTACCTCTTCCCTTTCTATTTGCCATTAAGTGGTGGAATAGGATGCCATGATCTTAGTTTTTTTAATACTGAGTTTTAAGCCAGCTTTTTCACTATGCCAATACCAAGTATGTTAACAGCTCTTAACCATGTTAACATGGTTAACAGCTCTTAAGGTTCTTAAGATGCAGATACTTACAGAATCACAAACAGTGAAGTCCCTACAAGAGATACATGAGAGCTGAACCTTTCGGCTCTGAAAATTTCCCTGCAATAATTCCACATAAGTCTGACTTAGGGTGAATATGCAGCCTGATTTTTCTAGAACAGCCGTAATGTCAGATCAAGTCGTTTAGAGGTTGAAAGATTACTTTTTCATTGTTTTTTTCAAGGTTCTTGGTATATTAAAGTAGTAAAATAATGACAGAATGGGATAATAAAAATTAGAGAATATTTTAAAAGCTTTCATGTACAGATCTGCAATATTTCATACATGCATAAAGGTGATAAAATTTTTCTATTTGTATGGAAAGTATTAGTTCATTGGGACCTGAAGGAAATTTACTATGGAAACATGGGGCTGAAGTTCAAAGCTGTGTGATAAACATTGTCTTCTTTCAGTCCTGTCTGTGTAGCTCTGGCTGTATATTTGGAGATAGTGGTCAAGAGTCTACACTGAGGCCCTCCATGAATGGGAAGCCTGGGTTAGCTGATCTCTTGTATCCCATGTTCCCATACTTCCTACCTGCCCCCATGATGGTAGGCTTTATGACATAAATCCTGTCATAAGGAAGACTCCATGATATAAATTAAAAACTTTCTGAATCCAAGCTCCACCATTTGCTAGTTGTGTAGCCTTACATGAGTTAGTTAAGCTTGCTAAACCATTCTCTATATTCATAAACTGGAGCTAGTAATGCGTATTTCCAATTTATGGGAAGAAGACGAAAAAATGAACGTCAAGTACCAAACTCAAACTGGATGTTCAAGTGTCAGATACCATCACTACCACCACACACACACACGCACACACACACACACACACACACAGTCTTGCCTCTGATCTGGAGCCTAAGTTTGGGTTTTGCACGTCTGTTGAGTGTAACTACACTGCCATCCCTGGGGCCTAGTAAAGAGTCCTGTGCCCCCAACCTCCCTGAGCTCCCGTTTACAAATGATCTGCCGGCCCCACAACTGTGGTGACTTGGCCCCCCGGCCCTGCCTCCTGTTCCATCCCCCCCTCGCTTGCCCTTGGCAAATGAAGGTGTGAGAGACAGCGTGTACATCTGAGACACATCTCTTATGCCACATCTGTGAGGCAACTGAGACAGAATCAGACTTAAATAGAAAAAGTAATATCCAAAGGGCATTGGCGTAAACTGGCGTACGGGATGGCTTACAGCCATCTCTCCTGGGGCCCGTGCTGTTAAGAGGGACACGCCTTGTGATCTCCACCGGGGAAGAGCTTGTGCTGCAAAGAGAGAAAAAAGAGAAAATTAATAGAAGTTAAGAATACAGGTCAGGCTTCACGGGTGGCTTGGTGGCAAAGAATCCACTGCCTGGATTCTTGGGTCAGGAGGATACCCTGGAGAAGGAAATGGCAACCCACTCTAGTATTCTCGCCTGGGAAATCCTATGGACAGAAGTGCCTGGCCGGCTACAGTCCATGGAGTCACAACGAGTCAGATACAACTTAGTGACTAAACAACAAGGATTCAGGTCTGATTCCCTGGCATCTACTGTGCGGGGTTTTTAACTGTTTAGGAAAAGAGGATTTCTACCTGGATAGGTGATGTCTGGGCAGGTTCACCTTGCTTTCACCTGGACAAAGCTCTGAAGAGTGGTGATGCCTTGTGGATGCAGCACTGCCGGTTTTGTGATGGAGAAACAGCCTCCTGGCTGTCTCTTAACAGCTTGGTCCTATAGATTTTTACTGTGTGTCAGAAGAAAATTCAGAAACGGAAAGGCAAAGAAAATCTAAATCAGGTCACTCGTTACAATTATATGAAGCTTATGGTTAGCACCATAGACTTGGAACTTGGAAACGGCAAGAAGGGTGACTTTAACAAAAATGGAAAGTTCCAGAAGTGTTAAGCAATAGAGAGACATGGTTAACTGGCATAATTAACTGGAATAATTTGCAGCTATTTAAAACAATCATTATGGACATTATGGATTGTCATGGAAAAGGCTCAAAATATAATGTTAAAGGGGAAAAAAGCAATACATGAAGTTGTCTATATATATTGTATAAAATAGATATGCAAATGGACATAAACTAAAATAAATCCTGAGAAAAAACTGAGCCCCTAACCCAGGTTAGATTCCTTGACTAAGGCTTCTTCCTACACTTTTCCTAAACTGTGTGTGCTTCTATGTATTTGTGCATGTGTCTGTGTAATTATATCTTTTATATATAAATATGTACACATACAAATATATTTTTAGTGAAAAAATTCTTAAAGCATTTGAAAAAGATTGGAGGTATTTGTGAGCAGAGCAGCTGCAAAAGGGAAAAAATAAATGTTTGTATGCTTTTTAAAAAAGCACATAGACTTTGTACCAAGGACTAAACTTTAAAATCCAT